GTGTGTGTGTGTGTGTGTGTGTGTGTGTGTGTGTGTGTGTTTGATGAGACAGAGCAAAAGAGAGAGTGTAGCTTTAGAGCTGAAAAGGAAGGGCCAGAGATCTGAGAGATTGAACGATGTGGTTATGTAGCTAAGAGAGAGAGAGAGATGTGTTTGACTGTCTGTCTAGTCGTGTCTGACTTCCGTGTGTGTGTGTGTGTGTGTGTGTGTGTGTGTGTGTGTGTGTGTGTGTGTGCGTGTGTGTGTGTGTAATCAATGCAGAACATCAAACACAACAATCCCTACATTTTACTCAAGGCAGTCTGCTCCTCAAGCACCTGCAGGTAATCAGGCGTCCCTTGGAGCTTGGCTTTCAGTTCGTAATACTCACTTTTCCTCTGCTCCACCACAATTTTACTGTGGTTCCCGCCTATCAGTGATGATTTCTTCATCTTTTTATCCATTGTCTTTTCCGGGTATCGGATTTCATACCCACCCATCCCTATACTGTTGAAATCTCTTTTGCTGTCCAAGAAGTTATGGATGAACATGCTGGGCTCCCGGTTGGGAAGGAACTCCTCGAGTTCGTCAATAGTGCTGAGACGCTTGTTGCGCTCCAGGGTGGAGAGAGCGTCCTTATCCTTGTCGGCACAAGAACGAAAGATGATCTTTTGTCTCTGAGAGTCGGCAAACTTGAAGCCAGCATCCATGTCCGAGGAGCGTCCGATCCCACAGGTGTGGCTCTTGCCGATGTGCTCGATGGTTTGGGGGATGAACGTTTCACCTCCTAAATCATCCCCTGGGATGGAGCCTTTTTTTCCAGATTTGTGGCTGTGTCGGCGAAGCTGCAGTGACATGGAGGCGCGCTCCTGACTCCCCAGCCCCTCCTGCCTGCCCACTGGCTTTTTATTTCGCCTCAGGACAAAGACTAGAAGGCAGAAGGCCACAAACACAGTAAGGATAAGCACAACAAGGATACTGAGGATCATAATGGAGAGAGGCACAGGTCCTCCCGGGGGTGCCTTGCCAACTCCTGCGGGTGACAGCGAGGTCATAAAAGGGGTGGCGCTCGTGGCAACAAAGGGTGGCCTTGCGAGCTTAGGACAGAGGATTTCGTTTTTTATTAGACGCAGCTCAGTGTTGGAAAACTGCACAGGAGAGGCACACTTTACCTCTTTGGCAGCCACTCCATCACCGAGCTTGTGTAGCCAGAGTTTGAGAGCAACCAGATCACAGGAGCACTCCCACGGGTTTCCCTCTAAGTCTATCTGGCTGAGCGAGCGCAGCTGGTCCAGGACGCCACTCACTGGCAGGGTCATGAAGTGGTTGTTTTTTAGATTGAGTCTGGCTAAAGGGACACCTGCAAAGATATAGGCTGGGAGACTCCGTAGAACRTTGTTGTTGAGATACAGGAGCTGTAAATTTGGCATGGAATCAAACGTGCCAGCTAAAATTTCTTTTATGGCGTTGTATTCCAAATAAAGGTACTGAAGGTTTGTCAGCCCCAAAAACATCTCTGGGTGTAACTGTTCCAGCTGRTTTCCATTCAGATACAGTCTCCTCAGGTTGGTGAGGTTAGCAAACACACCTTTCTGTAATGTGGCGATTTGATTGCTGCCAAGATGAAGCAAATCTAAGCCCTCAAACCCTTGGAAATCAGTTGGGCTGATGTCACGAATATAATTTCCACTTAGGTGAAGCTTCTTGGCATTTGGAGGTTTGGGAATGAGATCAGCTAGAATCCTTATATTTCTCTCCTGACAGCTTACACTAATRCCAAAGTCAGAGGGGTGGGCTTTACAGCTGCACGGCTGTGGACACAACATTGGAGGAGTTCGCGTCTGAAAAGAAATAATCTGGCTGTTTCTTCCAAACGGAGGCAAACCAGCCACAATCCCATTCCCATAAACCTTAGACGAGTCAGTGCTTTTTGGTGATTTTGTAGCAAGGGGAGCCACGGTGGTTGGGGATATTTTGGATGGCATCTGCCTATCATCAGACGTCGCTGGTGGCATCCGAACATCAAACTCACTTCCTGTTCCCATGGGGCACAGCTCTTGTCTGTTCGTTTCTTTCAGGAGCCTCCCATATAAGTCACTCGGTGTTTCACAAATGGCCTCACCTATAAAAATATTATAGGGCATGTTTTCAAGCCATGCTTTCAGAGGTGCTAAATCACAGGTACAGTTCCAGGGGTTGTCATCCAGCTGCAGCTCTACAATGCGCCCGATATGTTCCAGAACCCCTAAATAAGGAAGGTTCTGGATCCTGTTGCCTCTTATATCCAAGTGTGTGAGTGAGGCAAAGCGAAATATGTTGTCAGGCATTGCCTGTATGAGATTGTCATTCAGAATCAGCACTTTAAGCTTGTGCAGTTTATTAAATGCTCCCTTTTCAATGTATTTGATCAGGTTGTAGTCAGCCTGAAGGTATTCCAAGTTTTCGATACCTTGGAAGGTGTCAGCTCGCAGCACCTTCAACTCATTATTGTTCAGGTGCAGTTGCTTCAGTGCACTCATCCCAGCGAAAGCTCCACCTTCGATGTTCTGCAATTTATTGTTCCCCAGCTGCAGAGACACGGCGTGGGTGAAGTTGAGGAATGAGTTTGGGTAAAGGATGATTAAAAAGTTGTTCTGGAAGTTCAGGTGGTACAGGGAYGAAGCTGGCGGGATGAGCTGCGTGGGCCGGTAGACCGTGATCTTCTCGCAGTTGACGTACAGCACGTTCTCCACGGACATGCAGAAACAGGCGCTGCAGGTCTCCGCCATCAAGTCCGAGGCAGTCGGCTCTGCCACTGGGGGTCCATTTGACATGGAGGAGAGGGAGGAGGAGAGGGAGCTCGAGATGGAAGAAAGAAACGCTGCCAGCAGGTGTATGAGCAGCATCTCGTCGGTTAGAAATCCATCCCCAGAAAACCATTTAGTAACCTTGGGAGACAGAAAAAAAAGACAAGTGCGTGCGCAAATATTCAGTCACATTAAAATATATGTGCAGAGCAGACACAATATTTCACAAAGAAACACATCAAAATGCACATTTAAACTTTATTTTATTGTATTTCTGGTATATGTTTGATTTGATCACATTTCTACAAATAAAAATTACAGCTCCAGATTCTTTAAATCACATATTGCAATAAAACTATACCCCTTTTCTGTTTTTTTTCACTTTTTCATTGTAGAGGAGCATTCATGCAGCCATCCTGTTTATTCACAGGACAACTTTCATTCAGATTGCTTTAAAGTGCCACGATTAATCAAAGCCATGAACTGCTGCAGATCTGTGCGTCTGATCAGACAGCCGAAGCCTGACGCATCGCATTGAAAATGTCAGACATCAGCGTGACTATGTTCCTTCTTCCTCAGCTCATTTAACAGAAGCAAAGACGAAGGCTTTTTTAGATTTTTGCAGGGTCTGAAGCCAGTTTTTAACCCAAGTGTGAGAGCAAGAAGGGAGGGAGGAAGAAGTGGAACGATGTCTACTGCTGCTTTCATGTTCAGATGGTTTAAGGCACGTTTTACTGCCGTTCTCGCATCTTTATAGACACTAACGTTAAGAAGTGCTCTGACAAAACTGATTTTCTGCAGGTTTTTTGTGTGTTTTTTTTTTTTTTGTGTGTGTAGAGGAATAAAATCAGACTCACCCAAAAGTGGGGTGGCAACAAATGCGGCTCCCTCAGGAGACGCCGGGCAGCATCGGTGAAATGTGCGCAAACCGTCCTCCCAGCTGGACACCGACATGTTTCAGGGTGCAACAAGGTTCCCCCCTGTGTGCCCCCCTCCTTCTATGACACTCCGTGCAGGTTGACCAAAGCTCAAAACCAGTGGAGCAAAAGAAAGAGGAGTGCGCGGAGGGGGGGAGGAAACAGAGGAGGGGTGTAAGGAGGGTCCGATTTCATCCAATGCGTCTCTTGCTGATGGGCTCCTTTTGCTTGGAAAAATCTCCCCTCTGCTCGTTAGGCCCCCAGAGCGGCTGTACTACCTCCATCTGCTCTGAGAGGGGACAGCAAGGCAAAGACACCAGGCAGGGTGAGGCAGAGAGGGGGCTGTTTCAGAGAGCTCGACAGCGCGTCCTGCAATTCCAAAGCAAGAAAAGGAGCGCAAGGTGACGAAAAAAGTCCATAATTCTGTTCTTTTTCCTTGTGTTTTGCGATTGWGGAAGAAAAGAGTGAAGGATGAGAAGGAGCCCTCCAGCATCCAAAGAATAAAAATACAATCCTGGGGTTTTTTTCCAGCCAAGTTGCGCACAAGGGCTACAGCTTTAAAGCGCAAAAAAGAAGGAGCGGACTCTGTTCTCCAGTCATTTTCTCCAGTAATTCTTCTCATCCAGAGGAGAAGACGTTGGGAATAAATCTCCTTTTTTGCAAAACCAAAACCGGAGCAAAGAGCCTGATCAGCAGAAACCCAACAAGGAGGAGAGACAGGAGAAAAAAAAGTATAATGCAGTTATTCAGCCTTCAGTCCGCTGTGGTGCAAGTGAGAGCTGAAAGTCTGCGCGCACTGCTTCCATCCTCCCCACACCTCCTCCTCCTCCTCCTCCTCCTCCTCCTGAGAGAGTCCGGTGAGATAAAACTGATGGAGGGGAAGCCGAGGGACTGCTAAAGCATTCTTATCTGTTTTTTTTTTTAAAATATATAAATAGATTTATATCCAAAATGCAGAAGAGGAGAGAGTATTTGCGCCTCCCCCCTCCTCCCTCCTTTCTCCGGGATCAGTATGCCGCCTCCTTCTGCAGCCGCATTCACCGAGCTTCCCACATGACTGACAGAGGAGAGAGCGGAGATGTGGGGAGAGAGAGAGATGAGGAGGAAAAAAAATCAAGCCTTGAAACAGATCCATTATGTTGAACTGCTTCTAATGGCAGCATTTCTTCTTGTTTGTTTCTGTGAAAGCATCAGAGCTGTGCTGCCTGTTTTGGTTTTTCTTTGCCACATCTCTGTTTGAACCTCGATATGATCCAGGCTGATTTAAAAAAGCAAGGGGGGTAAAAAAAAGAGTCAGATTCAGTCGTCGCCCTCGGTCCGACTGGAGAGAGGTGGAGGAAAAAGGAGTGTGAATGCGTGCGTGCACATTCACACTCCTTCTCCTGTTTAAAATGCAGCTCACGTGCACGCACGTGCACGTGAGCTGCATTTTAAACAGGAGAAGGAGTGTGTGTGTGTGTGTGTGTGTGTGGGGGGGTGCATCATGTGGAGTGCTGCAACCAGAAACAGACGAGGAGGTGGGATTTGTTCAGTTTTTCACTATTTTTTGTGTGAGTTTTGTGTGTTGGGGGAGTGGAGGACCACTCTAAAATTGAGGGTGGGGTTGGGG